CATGCCTCCCCCGGCCACCCCCACCCCCACTTCTCGCAATCTCAGCGACTGCTGCCAACCCGTCCCCTATTCCCTGCCTTGGCCCTGGCAGGGGGGAGCTCTGCCACTTCGAATTGAGGCGCAGGCGTCCGCGTGCGAAAGGCAGGATGGGGACAGCCCGGGGATGGGAGGCTGCAGGAGCAGCGAAACGAAGGGCAGCGTGCACGGGGGGTGGGGGGCAAGCACAAGGCCCTGCAGGACGGGGGCAGGCAGCAGCTCCAAGCAACCACGAACTGTCAGGGGGGGCTCAGGCAGAGCCCACGGGGCTGATTTGGGCCAGCTTGCAGAGCAAAGAGGGGCAGGCAGCGGGAGCATGGGGTGCAGCAGCCCAAAGCCTGCAGGGCACGCACACAGCACCCATGGGAACCTGCCCTGGGGGGGCGGGCAGCTGTGAACACCCAAACACCAAACTGGGAAGCAGTTCTGCCCAGAGTGACCTGGGAGTCCTGGGGGACGACAAGCTGACCATGAGCCAGCAGGGTGCCCTGGTAGCCAAGAAGGCCAATGGCATCCTGGGGTGCATCAAGAGGAGTGTGGCCAGCAGGGCAAGGGAGGTTCTCCTCCCCCTCTACTCTGCCCACCTGGGGCACTGGGTCCAGTTCTGGGGTCCCCAGCTCAAGAAGGATGAGGAACTCCTAGAGAGAGTCCAGAGGAGGGCAACAGGGATGATGGGGGGACTGGAGCATCTCCCCTAGGAGGAAAGGCTGAGGGAGCTGGGCTTATTCAGCCTGGAGAAGGGAAGGCTGAGAGGGGATCTCATCACCATGTACAAATATCTCAAGGGTGGGGGTCACTAGGACAGAGCCAGACTCTTCCCAGTGGTGCCCAGCACCAGGACGAGGGGCCATGGGCACAAACTGAAACACGAGAGGTTTCAGTTGAGTATGAGGAAGAACTTCTTGACTTTGAGGGTGCCCGAGCCCTGGCCCAGGCTGCCCAGGTGGGCTGTGGAGTCTCCTTCTCTGGAGATCTTCAACCCCCGCCTGGACGCTGTCCTGTGCCCCCTGCTCTGGGTGAGCCTGCTTGAGCAGGGGGGTGGCACTGGGTAACCTCCCGAGGTCCCTTCCAACCCCTGCCATGCTGGGATTCTGTGAAACCCAGAGGCAACAGGCAAGTTGGAGCACCCCGCACGTGAGGAGGGAGTGGAGAGGTTCAGGCAGGCTCCGCTTGCCACCCGGCCCTGGCCCCGGCCCCCTCCTCACCCTTGAGGTCTGTCAGGGTCTCCCCCAGCTGCTTGAGCACCACCGCCTTCTCCTCCAGCTCCTGCACGGGGATGAGCCGGTGGTTGTGGGCCAAATCCTTCTGGATCTTCTCCACGGACTTCTCCAGGTCACTGTGAGCACAGAGGTGGGGCAGGGGCGTCACGGCTGCTCCGGGATGCTGGGGAGCCCCAGGGGTGGCCAGCCGGGCAGGTCCCCACGCGGCAGAGGGCAAGTGGGCTGGGGGGGGACCACCCCCCCCCCCCCCATGCCAGACATGCAGCCGAGGATGCAAGCTGGCACCGTGCAGAGCTGCTGATTTACACCCACAGAGGGTCTGGCCCATCGAGGCCAGCATGCAAGGACCCCCCTCCCCACTCGCCCTGCTCACTTGAGCTGCTGGGTGATCAGCTCCTCCTCGTTGAGGTAGCGGAGCCGCTCCTCTTCCACCAAGCTGCGCTGGCGCTGCAGGGGGTCCTCGTGCTTGCGCATGGTGTCCGTCACCCGCACGCTGATCTCCGTCTCCGTCCGCCGCAGCATCGTCTTCACCGTCTCCTGGTTCTGCAGCTGCAGGGATGGGGGGGTGGGATTCAGGCTGGGCAAGA